TGTAAAAGGGGCTGGCCCCTAAAATGAGGGGCCTAGAGGGGCCAAAAGTTTTTTCTTTAAATCTCAAAAAGTATTGAGAATTTGTAATACGTCAAAGAAGCAAAGTTGTTCAAAATGTCAAGCTTTATCTATTAGAGTCGTCAAAATACGTCCGGCGTCGTCACTTCCGGCCAAACCGGAAGTAGTCGGAAAACGTGTATTTTTGCCGTTCTTGACAGGTTTTTGGATAACATATGTCTCTGGGAGCATAAAAATTAATTTTCCATCCGTCGGCGTCACTTCCGGTCAAACCGGAAGTAGCCAAAAATGGCTTATTTTGAAGGTTTTTGATGCAAAATTGAAATTATAAAGTCACTGGAGACGACTTAGCTCATTGCTTTCTTTTTTGATGTCACTTTCGGCACTTCCGGTTCAAAACCAAACAGATTCCGGCCAAACCGGAAGTAGTGGAAAAATGCGTATTTTTGCCTTCTTGACAAGTTTTTGGGTAACGTATGTCTCTCGGAGCATAAAAATTAATTTTCCGTCCATCATCGTCACTTCCGGTTAAACCGGAAGTAGCAAAAAATTGCTTATTTTTGCATTAATTAACATAACTTTATAGGATTTAAAGCATTTTTGGGCATTATTTCTCATTTTTGTTAAAAAAGAAAGCTACTTCCGGTCAAACAGGACGGAAGACCTACTCGTTGCTTTGCAACGAGCTAGCTCTAGTTCTTATTATTCTTTTTTTTTTCTCCTTTTCCTAGACGCCAACTTTGAGGCCTCATATTTCACTCATTTCTCATCGGATTTTGCTCAAATTTTCAGACATTATACACATCGATACACTCTATCAGAATGCCGTCTTATATTTCAAAAATATACTCCCGCTTTTGAGTTATTTCCCTTTAAATGAAAATTTATAGGCTTTCATTTCCAGATAAAGGCTCAGAGACCACAAAAACTGGAGCAGAAATTCTACTGATTTAGATAGCAGAAGGATTAAAGATCTGCATGCCAGTTTTTGTTTTTCGATTTCTTTATTCAAAATGGCGCTATATAGGGGTCAAAAAATTAGAACGCATAAAAGAGCGAAAAATTACACATATTTTACCTTTTATCTTGAAAACTAAAAATATTTTGTTAAGACATATTGAATAAAAGATGTGCATAATTGAAAGAGCTTTCATTTGATATCATTTAAAAGGGGCTGGTCCCTAAAATTAGGGATCTATGGGACTTGACATTTTTTGCTTTATAACTCAAAAACGGTAATACTATATATTTTGATATGGTTGTCGATGATAAAATTGTTCCTATATCATTTCTGGCCTATTAAAATATTATTTTGTTCGAGTCTTGTGTATGGTAGGAAAAAAACTAGATCCGTAAACATGGCACCGTTCTCATTTTGCTATTGAAGGAGAACTTTTTATGCGTATAATTGAAATAAACATGCCATAAGTAATAAATATTTTGCAACGCTGATCATATTTTTTTTTTTTTTGATTAGGTTTTAAATGTGTTTTTTGGTTCCGGTACAGAGTATTCGATGGCAACTTTTTCTTTTTATTAATAAAGATCTTTCCAAGAGAGAGAGAGAGTGATAGAAGTAGGAGTATCTTTTCTTTGTTTAAAATGAACACAAACAATTTAAATGAAAACAATATACACCCAGATCTCATAGAAACTTTTTAAAGAGTCAAATAATACACCATTATTTATTGCTTGATTCTCACATTCACCTGGAACACAGATTCTAAGCGTGTATACCATTACGTAATCTATCCGTCAATTACACGCGGCCGAGAAATCTAAAGCGACACTCCACGGTGAACCATTGACCCTGCAGTCGTAGGCAAAATAATTGATATATTAAAACCTTTCTACAACACGACAATTAATGAAAAATTCTTATTGTCGAATATTTGAGATTAATATGGTGGCTTAGATTTGTTTTAAATTTGAACGTGATGCATATTTTAACTAAAACAGCTATCTAGGTTTTGTGTTTGTTTACAATTACGCGACCAACCATTCTTTCCATCGCTTGTTGACATTAATTTCGCCGGGTGGTAGACGTGTCTAATTTACAAACTTACGGGAAAATATTATTTTCTTTAAGTAAATCGAATCTTTAAAAAAATCTTAAATTGTCTTAGGTTTGACTTCAGCACAAAACCCTGGGGCATTTACTTTACATGAACTCAGTACATTAATCATATTAATCAGTCTTCAGTTTTTAGATGTTCGTTAGCTCCATGTTTAATTTTACTTTTTATTTTGACGATTCATTGCGTAATTAGGACTATAGCGATCTGTGGTTACTTTACTTCAACCAATATTGAATTAAATACATAAGCTTTGCCCTTTTCACACACAAATAAATCCGTTTTCAACACAAATTTTCCCAAACACATTTTTTTTCCATCACAGATTTTTACCATGTCTATACCAATTTTAAACTTTTAAAGAGAATCTTCCGAATCATAGGGATAGAATTATAGCCAATGAAATGGATTAAACATCGATAGTTAACTCCGGCACGTGTAAACTTCGAAAGTGGATTCTGTGCTGCACCATGCATACTTATATTACAAGTTCGATACTAGTAAAGCTGAAAAAATAATTCAAGATTTGAAAGCCATGAACTTAATTTGTAAAATAATTTATTCAAATCCTGTAAATGATTAGTATACCCGGTAGTGTGCTAACATTGTAATTTTGTTCCCGTGATTAAATATCGGTACCAAGTTATACAATGTACATGTAAGTAGTAATAAACTCGCATCCTATGTCCAGAATCGAAAATTTAAGAACTTGTATAACAATCTGCAGCTACTGAATATCAAAAACTTATCATGTACACCTTTACAACCTAATTTAAATAATATCCGGCACCATAGTCAAACCATTTGTATCGTTTATCATATATAACTCAGTATTTTCTTTAAAATTATGAACTTATATCTAACACACATTACTTTTCCTGGTTTAAAAAAATAAATGTACGAAAGAAGGCAAGAGAGAGAGACATTTTGTTCAAGTATCAATTATTGTCTAATTTATTTTATTAAACATAACCCCCCTTTCTTATTTAAATTAAATTTATTTGTTGATTTTATTCAACTTAAAGCACAATATGTAAGTACTAAAAGTCCATGCATGGATGCTATTGTACATCAGGAATTTTCTTTTATCTTTATCCATGCATTTCTCCTTCAAGGAAAATAATTATGAATAAATTAATTGAAGGACGTGTATAAAACCATGTGGTTTGGGTTTGTCAATGTGTTTTAGATCATGATCAGCAAATCACAACTCCTTGGGCCTTTCTGTCTAACGGAATAATAATAATCTCGAATGTATTACATATACACCATAACTCCCCCATGCACCCCACGCCCTTTCCAAACTTAGAAATAAATATTCTTATTCAATGGACTGATAGTTGTACGTAGCCTAAACTTTCAACACCCCTACGAAATATTTCATAGGCAAAATTCTTGAATCATTTTTTTTTGGGGGGGGGGGGGATATGATTGATATGTTTTAACGTCCCTCTCAAGAATTTTATTTCACTCGAACGGAGATGCCATCATGCTTTTACCGGTGGAGAGCTTCAAATATCCTATAATCAGCACTTAAGGTCATTGAGGGGGGAGGGGGATCTTTTTCGTGCCAGCACCTTAAGCGACACGGGGCCTTGTTTTATACAGTTTTCAAACGTCCCACAGTGGGATTCGAACCCACGATGTAAGGATGAATCCTTATTTGCAACCCTTATTTTAGAACAGACGCTCTAATCAGTGCGCTATGAGGGCGACCTTGGATGATATATAAAGTTATCATTTCAATTTGGACAATTTTACTTTAGTTCCAAATAATTTATATGAATATGTCAATTAAAATTCACCTTATCAGGGTAAACGCTAAGGCCATTTTAACATTCAGGGCTAACTTACAGAAAAGTTTGTTTTTCCTGTCAGATCTTTGTTCATCTTTGAATAGCTTTTATTTTAATCTCATTTATTTGTAAAGGGGTTTGGGGAGTGATGCTACATAAATACAGAAAGTTGATGTTTGAAAAGACTGTCATTTTGCTCAGTTATTCTACAGTTGTTTATTACGTTCACGTACGTCTATTGTCAGTAAACATCAAATTATGATTGGAGGTCGTGTCATGACCCTGATCAAAGGTCTTTCTAGCAAATCTAGGTCACTGACGATACAAAAATGTTTAACACAACTTTGCAATTTATCATTGAGGTCATACTGAGAAGACATTTTTCACATAATGTTTAGTCCATTATTTATACAACTGCGTCATGTCCATAGCTCCAACAGAAGACCTATTCGTTGCTTTGCAACGAGCTTGCTCTAGTTTCTGATATATGTTTTAATGACTTTGAAATCCACTTCCACCGAAAGGTTCTATATTACACAGTGAAAGCTCTAACCACTGAGTCATGAGGGTGACTTTAACAAGTATTCATTTCAATGATCAATAACAAGGGATATGAAGTGATTTAGACAGCAACAATATATTGTTTTGAAAGTAATAGTGTACCCATTTTACAAAGACATTAACTCCTGGTAAATACTATGTTGTCAGTATCGTGACAATCAGTGGTACATCAAATGAACCAACTGGTGAAAAGAGGAGTGCAGTACACACAGAGACAATCAGAATTAACCCAACAAGTAAGAAGAAGATTTTATACTGCTAACAATTCTGATGAAAATATAACATAACATTTTGTTAGTAAGAATATAAAAAAATTTTCATTTGACTCAAGAGAATACTGAGGTATGTTAGCACCTGCCTTTGTTAATATTTATCAATTATATTTTTTTTCTTTTTAAGGACCGGGTCCACCTATTAATGTAAATTGTCCACAACATCCAAAGGACATCTCTTTAGAAATATCTTGGGAGCCTCCTACGAACCCTAATGGAGAGATTGTGATGTATCAGATTCACGTAAATCCTGGAGGTCTTACTATCAACACACAGACAATGTGACAAAATACAATGTCATGGGGTTAAGTGAAGGTATTTTTTTTCAGTTTTAATACAGCAAATGAAACCTGATACATAGGTAGTAGTAGAATCATTTAAGGATGACGTTTACTCACGTTTCAGAAAATAGAAAGGAAATTTTGTAAAGTATAATATGTATGTTAAATCAAAAATTGCTCTAAATGCATAAAATTACTTAGTTTTGACCAAATATCAATTAAAACATTAAATATTTTATTATTTGAAGAAAATATTCGGGAACAAAAATCAATGTATGGCAATGCAGAGGAAATTCAGACTAACTTTTTAATTTTTCATTTTTGTCAAAATCATTTATTTCTTGCAATATTAATCACAATGTAAAGGTTACATGTGTTTTTGAACATCATTTCACAAATATTATATGCGTTAAAGCTAATAAATTATGGAAAATAATTGAATTCTATGAAATAAAGAAATTCAAAAATATGAACAAAAACCATTCCAGACAACATATCTCAATTATTTGATCATTGACCCCATATAATGTTAATACCATGAGAATTAGGGCAACAAAAGTAACCTGATTCTATAAATAATTTTGAGTTCTTATCAGTCAGATTTTTTTAATATTCGATTATAAATGGGGAAAAAATATAAAGATGACAGAGGAAATTCGGACTGTAATAATTATCAAATTTATGGTCAAAACTCTAATCATTTCTTTATATGAAGCAACACTGTTCAATTGCTTTAATATTTCATTATCTAAAAAGCTTTGTTACTTGTAATATTTGTGAGTGAAGAAAATATTGGTCATAGTGTGAAGAATTGAGGTATTTCCCGTAAAATACTCAGGGGCCACTAGCATGAAAAGTAGGTCATTGACCTAGTAATTTGAAATTGAAATTTAACACCAGAATTATAGGTGTACAATGTGCAATATGTGGTTTTTCGTTCTTATCAGTGGAATTTTTAGTCCGCTGAGTAAAGGTATTCCTTAATGCTATTTTTTTCAAACTATTAGTGAAGGATGAGGAAACATAAGCATGAGAAAGATCAATTTTATGATTTTATGAAAATGATACCTTATTTCTTTAACAAAATCAAAACATTTCACACAGTGAAAGTCATAATTCAGGAAATATAAAATATAAATACATCACAGATATATAAGAAATAAGGTATCATTTAAAAGCATATATCGGGTTATAAATACGGGATGGTACGAGATCAAATACTAGTACGAGTATACTATAATATAAAGTCTTATTTGATCTTGCGAACAACCTGTTTTATATCCTGATAGATGTTTGAAAATGATACCTTATTTCTTAAATAATTAGATTAAGTTAATGTCATTCAATATTTATATTTCAGAGGTAATGTATAATTTCACTGTCCGGACAATTAACGATGCAGAGGAAGCACAAAAAGTTAGTGATCCCAGTGAGGTTATCAACTGTTCAACTAAGGCTGGAGGTAAATGAATATACAAACTGACTAGAGAGCAAAAACTTTGCGTATTAGTTGGAGCAACTGAAAGTCACTTGTTTATTTTTGGTTTTCTTGGAAGTGTAAAATTTGGCATTTTGTCTGCTTGAAGGTGTGCCAATAATTTTTGCCTAATTTATTTTAGCAGACAAGATTTCAGCTCATTACAAATAAACACTAAGAAGGGTACTGACTATATTAGCGATCAAAATTTAAGCGGGCTACCATAAAACGCAAAAAAATTAGCACCCCACTAAAAAAAAACCCGCTATACAGAATATAGGAATAGGGACTCAAAAATTGGAGAGTTAAAGACATGAAAAATTTAAAAGTCTGAAAGATATTTATTTTTATTAATTTTGCTTTATTGATCTATAAGGTTAGCATAATAGCTGAGATAGTGAGTGTTTACTTACACAACAAGATATAAATAAATGTTAAACATGACAATTTTACATGAGTATGAGTGTATAAGATATTTTGAAATCTTCTCAGGAATTGAAAAATCATGATTAATCATATTCATTTAGAGGCATCCTCAGATACTGAATATTAAAATTTGTTTCTCTCCCCTGGGAATAGGGTTGGGCTACATTGGGCAGTTCAAGTTTGCATGGGCATATCTGGAAAAGTCTTCCTAAATTTTCTTCTCAAATAGAGGAATGCCATGATCATGCAGTTACATAATGGGGATGTAGACTACTAGTAAGCTAGCTCTATAATCTCCGCAATACACTGTAGTAGGGATAATATTAGTTACACAGTCAGTTAGTGACCTAATACGGATTAATACAGTGTCTGAAATGGAAATCCGTATTGGGCGAGGCGAAGCCGAGTCCCAATACGGATTTCCATTTCACACCCTGTATGAATCCGTATTAGGTCACTAACTGACTGTGTTACGAATTTATCCCGCTGAAGACCTTTTACAATATAAAAAAAATATTTGTGCATATTACGAAAATATTAAGTTTTAATCCAATAACAATCAACATAAAATGTTACGTTAACAAGAAAATTAACTAAACTACCTACGTAAACCGTTTCTTAGCCGCCATTTTTATTTACAATAACAACGCTTCGAACGGAATCGCGTGCCCGATTTTCACATTACGCCTCGACCGAGACGTAATACGGAAACTGAGACCTAATACGGAAAATTTCAGGGCGTTCACGTGATTAGCTTTTATCCAATCAGTAATCGACAAATTTGTCTGAAGCGGGATAAATGCAGATATTAAGAACTAATACAATTGTTTAAATTTATGTATAGAAGCTAGTATAAAATATATTGAAGATTTTTATTGTTACTAAACCATTTTGTTTATTGAATTTGATATTTATGTATCAATAAAACTATACATGTATAATAAGTAAATAAATCAATGTTTGATATGAAAAAGATCATCATTACCGGTATATTTAAAGCACTGTTTAAAAAAAAAATTTAAACAAGGTAGTTTTTCTTGAAATATTGGCATTCTTATTTATTTCCAATTTTAGTATCTACCCCTCCAACAAAGTTGAATATAAGTGATATTGGTGGCAGAGGTTTTATGATTAGTTTTGAAAAACCTGTAAATGTGAGCGGTCAGTTAGCTGGATACAGAATCGTTATCCTGGAAGGATCCATCTGTGTACAAGAGATCTTTCTTGTAGGAAACTGTCCACAGTGTGAGGTAAGGAACAGATATATACATAAATATTAAAGAATGGAGGCGTACAAGGTGAGGACAATCCCCCACTCTGAGGAAAGACATTTCTCGATTCTAAAAGTTGTATTTTTCAATATTATATTGTGTATATCATCTTTACACATTTAATTCTGTATTTCACTGCTTTAATATTTTATTAATAATTTATTTTTCACTCATGTTTTTATGATATGTGAAAACAAAAAAGAAAAAGCTTCATGTATGACTCAAACTCTCTCCATAGCGCAGGGTTTAGGCCAAGACCAAGCACTTTAACCACTATGCTATGAAGTACATGCATTATAGACGTCTGTCAATGTGATTTAAAGGAAGCGTACATTTTTTCAGAAATTTGCGATTTTCATATAGAATGGCTTCATGCATATTCCATTTTTTGGACAAATGAAATAGATTTCACAGTTACGTTTCCATCATTTAAGTGTTAACAAAAAATGGAGACTTGACCAATTCATGTTCAAAATTCATTTTTAGCTCACCTGAGCCGAAGGCTCAAGTGAGCTTTTCTGATCACATTTTGTCCGTCGTCCGTCCGTCTGTCCGTCTGTCTGTCTGTCCGTCTGTAAACTTTTCACATTTTCGACTTCTTCTCAAGAACCACTGGGCCAATTTTGACCAAACTTGGTACAAAGCATCCTTGGGTGATGGGGAATCTAAATTGTAAAAATGAAGGGACATATCCCCTCGCAAGGGGAGATAATCAAGAAAAGACAAAAATAGGGTTGGGTCATTAAAAAATCTTCTTCTCAAGAACCACTGGGCCAGTAAAGCTGAAACTTATATGAAAGGATCCTGGGGTAGTGTAGATTCTAAATTGTTCAAATCATGACCCCCGGGGGAAGGGCGGGGCCACAATGGGGAATCAAAGTTTTACATAGAAATATATAGGAAAAATCTTTGAAAATCTTCTTCTCAAGAACCACTGGGCCAGAAAAGCTGAAACTTATGTGGAAGCATCCTGGTATAGTGTAGATTCTAAATTGTTCACATCATGACCCCCGGGGGAAGGGCGGGGCCACAATGGGGAATCAAAGTTTTACATAGAAATATATAGGAAAAATCTTTGAAAATCTTCTTCTCAAGAACCACTGGGCCAGAAAAGCTGAAACTTATTTGAAAGCATTCTGGTATAATGTAGATTTTAAATTGTTCAAATCATGACCCCCGGGGGGAGGGTGGGGCCACAATGGGGAATCAAAGTTTTATATAGAAATATATAAGAAAAATCTTTGAAAATCTTCTTTTCAAGAACCACTGGGCCAGAAAAGCTGACACTTATGTGGAAGCATCCTGGTAAAGTGTAGATTCTAAATTGTTCACATCATGACCCCCGGGGGAAGGGCAGGGCCACAATGGGGAATCAAAGTTTTACATAGAAATATATAGGAAAAATCTTTGAAAATCTTCTTTTCAAGAACCACTGGGCCAGAAAAGCTGAAACTTTTGTGGAAGCATTCTGGTATAATGTAGATTCTAAATTGTTCAAATAATGACCCCCAGGGGAAGGGCGGGGCCACAATGGGGAATCAAAGTTTTATATAGAAATATATAGGAAAAATCTTTGAAAATCTTCTTCTCAAGAACCACTGGGCCAGAAAAGCTGAAACTTATGTGGAAGCATCCTGGTATAATGTAGATTCTAAATTGTTCAAATAATGACCCTCGGGGAAGGGCGGGGCCACAATGGGGAATCAAAGTTTTACATAGAAATATATAGGAAAAATCTTTGAAAATCTTCTTCTCAAGAACCACTTGGCCAGAAAAAGTGAAACTTATGTGGAAGCATTCTGGGGTAGTGTAAATTCTAAATTGTAGGAATCATGACCCCCGGGGGAAGGGCGGGGCCATTATAGGGAATCAAAGTTTTACATAGAAATATATAGGAAAAATCTTTGAAAATCTTCTTCTCAGGAACCACTGGGCCAAAAAAGCTGAAACATATGTGCCCATGGAAGGATCATGGGGTAGTGTAGATTTCAAAATGTCTAAATTATGATCAGTGGGGTAGGGTGGGGATGCATTATGTATAACAAGGGGGAAATCTGGTAAAGAACAGAATGGTCAAAGCTTCTCAGGTGAGCGATGTGGCCCATGGGCCTCTTGTTTATAGCTCCAGTAAACCCATCTTCCATGAAATATGCTTAACTGTCAATTTTGAAATAAAAGATTATCAAATAATAAGTCGTTCAGTAAAATAAAATGATAAAATGTTTTGAAGATGACATTACTGAGAACATGATTTTAGAAAAATATAACTTTTTCTGTGAAATTTGAACATTGAGATTGGAAGTATTTTGTCTCAGAACGGGGGATTGTCCATGCCTTAATATACACCCTCTTTCTTTATCCAAGAAAAAAAGAAAAATTTAGGCAAATTAAAGATAAAATCATTGAAATTTAGGCAAATTAAAGATAAAATCATTGATGCAAGTGTGTTTTTTATAACCAAGGCCTTACTCCATTAGAACCAACTGCGGGATGTGGAGAACAGTCCTTCAGATGAGAACCATAAAACTGAAAGAAGCCATAAATTGCTTACATTTGCTGAATCAGATATCCACATGTACAAAAGACTTCCTGCTTTCTTATTTAATGATTTTTGGAACAAGCATATATTCATATAATAAAAAACCCTGTCAGCTTTACAAAGCCTGTATGGATATCTATAAAGTTTAAAGAGATTTGTGCTTTTGGATATTATTATACCCGCACTTTCGAAAGAAAGTTCGGGTATATTGTTGTTACTCATGTCCGTCCGTCCGTCCGTCCGTCCGTCCGTCCGTCTGTCACACTTTTCTTCCCTGAACTCCTCCTACATTTTTCACAGTAGCTTAATCATCCTTTGGGAGATGGTTGGGGGTGTCATGTAGATGTGCAGTAAGGTTTCGGAATTTTGATTTTGCCCCGGGGGATCAAATGGGGGTCAAAAAATGACGTTTTTTATACAAAAAGTCCCTTCTTCCCTGAACTCCTCCTACATTTTTCACAGTAGCATAATCATCCTTTGGGAGATGGTTGGGGGTGTCATGTAGATGTGCAGTAAGGTTTCGGAATTTTGATTTTGCCCCAGGGGATCAAATGGGGGTCGAAAAATGACGTTTTTTATATAAAAAGCCCCTTCTTCCCTGAACTCCTTCTACATTTTACTCAGCAGCCTAATCATCTTTTGAGAGATGGTTGGTGGTGTCATGTAGATGTGCAGTAAGGTTTCGAAATTTTGATTTTGCCCCGGGGGATCAAATGGGGGTCGAAAAATGACGTTTTTTATACAAAAAGCCCCTTCTTCCCTGAACTCCTTCTACATTTTACTCAGCAGCCTAATCATCTTTTAAGAGATGGTTGGTGGTGTCATGTAGATGTGCAGTAAGGTTTCGGAATTTTGATTTTGCCCCGGGGGATCAAATGGGGGTCGAAAAATGACGTTTTTTATACAAAAAGCCCCTTCTTCCCTGAACTCCTTCTACATTTTACTCAGCAGCCTAATCATCTTTTGAGAGATGGTTGGTGGTGTCATGTAGATGTGCAGTAAGGTTTCGGAATTTTGATTTTGCACCAGGGGATCAAATGGGGGTCGAAAAATGATGTTTTTTATACAAAAAGCCCCTTCTTCCCTGAACTCCTTCTACATTTTACTCAGCAGCCTAATCATCTTTTGAGAGATGGTTGGTGGTGTCATGAAGATGTGCAGTAAGGTTTCGGAATTTTGATTTTGCCCAAGGGGATCAAATGGGGGTCGAAAAATGACGTTTTTTATACAAAAAGCCCCTTCTTCTCTGAACTCCTTCTATATTTTACTCAGCAGCCTAATCATCTTTTGAGAGATGGTTGGTGGTGTCATGTAGATGTGCAGTAAGGTTTCGGAATTTTGATTTTGCCCCGGGGGATCAAATGGGGGTCGAAAAATGACGTTTTTTTATACAAAAAGCCCCTTCTTCCCTGAACTCCTTCTACATTTTACTCAGCAGCCTTATCATATTTTAAGAGATGGTTGGTGGTGTCATGTAGATGTGCAGTAAGGTTTCGGAATTTTCATTTTGCCCGGGGGGTGGGGGGATGGGGATCAAATCGAGGTAGAATTTTTATAATTTTTTTTTTTTTACATATATTTGACATGTTTAATCACCCTGCTTTCAAGAACTTCCCTAATATCTTATGCTGCAATAGCTTTAAACCATGATCATTTAGAAAATGATTGGTTTGTTTTGTGTATGTGTAAAATGGTTTCAAAATTTGAATTTTCATATGGATGGCAAAAAGGGGCTGGAATAATATGGCACCTCCCTAACCCTGGTGGTCATGATTTGTACAAACTTGAATCTACACCTCTTGAGAATATTTCCATATTAATCATGCTCTTGGTGTTCCTGAAAAGAAGAACTTTAAAGATGTGTTTCCTTTTATTCCTAAATAAAACTTTGATCCCTAATTGTGGCCTGACCCTAGCCTGAGGTGATGATTTGAAAAACTAGAAATATGTCTATAGGACATGAATGTCCCGCCAGATGTGTATTACTAATGGTACATTAAACAAGAGGCCCATGGGCCACATTGCTCACCTGAGTACTGAAGCTAAGAAAAAGTAGAAATTGGTTTATAATTGAAAAGTTAAAATCCAAAAGTATCCCATGATCAATCATGGATTTGCTTTTCTTCAAAGAATTTTCCATATATTTCTATGTAAAACTTTGGTCGGCCATTTTGGCCCCGCCCTACCCCCTGGGGTCATGATTTGTACAAATTTTTGAATCTACACTACCTGAAGATGCTTCCATATAAATATGATGAATTATGGATTTGTCATTCTTGAGAAGAAGATTTTTAAAGAATTTTCCCATAAATTTCTATGTAAAACTTTGGTCGGCCTTTTTGGCCCCGCCCTACCCCCAGGGTCATGATTTGAACAAACTTGAATCTTCACTACCTGAGGATGCTTCCATATAAATTTGATGAATTATGGCTTTGTCATT